TCCCTCCTGCTATAAAATTGCAACATGATGTAACCCAACACTAGTTACCATGGTGACAGACGTCTGGTTCAGGTCATTGACCTTATTGGAAGAAACAGGAAAAACAATATGTTTTCCTTCATCCTAATATACATTGTACATAGTCACCACCCCCCAACATGGGTTAGGGACTATCAGAGTGCATGTAAACTATGTAACTAGGATGGTATCCAGGCTAAAAGTAAGTACATTGAACTAACTTACCGACAAGACAGCCGATAGTGATGTAGAGATGTGAGATGTGAGTGGCAAACCGGCTGAGACAGAACCCTGCGGCCGCCAGCACACCTCCCGCCATGATGACCGGACGGAACCCGAACTTCCGACCCAGGCCACTCGCTATGGGTGCTGGGAAAATAAGTGAACATTCATTTATTATGTTTACAGAAGAAAATATATTCAATTTGTTTTTGCTGAGTTTCTTCCTCTTCTTCTTCTTCTAAAAAATATTGTCCTATCCACGTAATTTTCTTAAGGTTCTCTGCTAAGTTCAACAAGAAAAAATACATGATACAAACTACATTGTACATGCATTTTCTACCTTGAGCTAGAAGCAAAATTACTGTCATCAATACATCAAAATCTAAATCTTAGCTATGAGTAGCTACCCAATTATATTTTCTTTAAGCATTTTCCCAACCAAATCACAGCGGGAGCTAAACCAAACAAGAAATGTTTTCAACCAGCACAGTGGGATTTCCAGTGGATTATTTACCCCTTAGGCCACACCAATTCAATTTGTTGTTTCTCGGATTTTTTCATAAAAAATATGAAGCAACAGGGTCAAGTATCTAACAGTTTGACCTGTCATTCTGTCAATCCCCCCACCCACATGCTGTAAAGCTATAATAGCTACTCTGTCTCAGGAGAAACAGACACACAAACCCACAGCTCGGCTACCTAAAACAATACTTCCTCATCCCCACAAGTAATTTTAGGTGTTGCTGCATCAAAATAATAGCCTGAGTGTCAGCCTTTTTTACACTCCAAGCAGAGGTTTGGGTTTGGGGTTATTTTTGGCGTGTTTTTTAACTTTTTTATCGGGGTTTCTTTTTTGCACTGGATTTTTTCTTTCACCCAACCCAAAAAGAAAAATTCCAGTGTAAAAAGAAACCCAGATAAAAAAGTTAAAAAACACGCCAAAAATAACCCCAAACCCAAACTTCTGCCTGGAGAGTATTGGCTTTTTTAGCTTTCATCCACTCCCCACAATCTGCTATTGGCTGGTAGCGGATCGTGGGGAGCAGACGAAAGCTAAAAAGGCTGACACTTGGGCTATCAAAAAATGACATGTACCTGCCAAATTGGTTATCCCCATCACCATTGCTGGAACCAAAGCGACTTCAGCGGCCGAAGCATCCACAAACTCTTGTCTCCACGGAACGAAGAAAACGCCCATGGAGTGGCTGATACCAAACGAGCAGGCGAGAATCATGGAACCAGACAGGGCGACCACCCAGCCCCAGCCTCCGTTGGGTGGATCCACCGCCCTTCTGACGTTAGTCTGCGATCTGACGTTCCCTGTCATGTCTAGAGTGTTGAGAAGACCTGCTTGTTTGACTAATGATTATAAATAAATACACTGTAACTAGAAAAGTAACATTTGCTACTATTACTTTCACAGAAAACGTAGTGTAGTCTAACAACTATTGCTCTGTTTATCCTTACTCAAACACATTCATATACTAGTAGGGTACAGCCAAAATACAATTACATGTAGGCCACAGCAAGCAATTTTTATGGATGACATCAGCACGCGCATTGATTTTCGCCTGATTTTGGAAAAAAAAAAAAAGAAATTTTGTTGCCTTCTGACAGTGGTCAACATGCCGAAAATGGGCAAAGGTGTCTGTTGCCATGCTGGAAGGTGGATGGCAGATAACTATGAAGATAGGAGACAAGAAAATGCTCTGATTTAATGTTTTGTTTCTTACTTTGATGTAGTAATATGTGATGTTGGCTGTGTATAACTATTATGCGATGTTGAACTGAATAAAAACCATTTGTACAATGATTGAGTCAAAATTTTAAAATGTAGGAACCTGCTGTCTTGTTCTTTTCACCCACTCGCATTAGATTTGGAGTCTGTAACTGTAACATTTGCTTTTAACTTCACATAGTGTGGTCTAACTTACTTCTGCTCTGTTTATCCTTACTCAAACACATTCATATTCATATACAGCCAAAACATTATTACTCAAAACAACTGGATAAAATTGTTGTCTCGCGGCGGGCTGGGGTACCGGAAACTTTACAATCATTTTTATCTAACTTAACATCATTTTTGTCTTTTCCACGGACCCTAAATTGTTTACGCATTGTGTCCTTTGAACAGTCTGTGAAAATTGTCTTCAACCTTGTTTTTCCGGTTTTTACAGATACCCTTTCTCTTTTATTGGGTCAAATTTTCAACTGCACAATGTGTGGACTTCGAGCTTAGCTTACGTACAACTCTAAAAGGTTACTTAAAATTTGCAAGTGTTAATACACCGATATATTACACTGCAAAAATATCTACATGTCAAGTCACATCACATCCATTTATAAGGTGTTACATCTTAATATGGTTTTCCAAGACTGGTAAAGGCTTTTCTTACCTTAAAAGATGATTCCATGGCTGCAGAATAATCTTAAGTCTTAAGAGATGTTACGTACGTGACCAAACTCACTATCAGAATGCCAATGACCTCTGCAAATAAAACGTTAACCGTTGATCATAAAGTTAGTAAAGAACCCTTGTCACTTTGAACTTTAAACTTAAATGTCCTGAACACTGTTATTTTATACGCTATTAACTGTCATTGTCAAACAATAGGTTAGGTAAGAAGACTGCAAAGTAATTTCTAACGTAACAGGTAACTTGTTATAATTTATAACATCATATTATGCAGATGTGCCTCAAAAACAACATAAAATCCCTTAAACTTTTCTGTTTACAAATCAATACGTAAAGAAATGATAGTGAAAACATACCTTATATATCCTTTAACAATAAAAATGCTACGTATGCACACGGAAACGGAAATAAGTGGTCAAATTATAGAGCCAAATTTAGGATTTCCCGCCACGTTACGCACCAGCTGGTAGTTTCACATGACCTCGCTTGACCTTTACTACAACACAACGGGTTGGTGGAAAAAGCAGTCTAGTCCGATCGGCGGAAAAAGCAGTCCAGTCCGATTTGGGGGTGGAAAAAGCAGCCCGGTGGTTTCTGTGTGTAGCAGCGCCCCCTTGCAAAATACAATAAAAGTGCAAGCATTCTGGTGTTACAGCATGACATGCCCTTGAAGCGCAGTCATTTGACACAGTTATGCAAATGTCGCGGACTGCTTTTTCCACCCTCAAATCGGACTGGACTGCCTTTTCCGACTGGACTCGTTTTCCACCAACCCTACTAGAACAACATGGCGGCTAGCGTGAACGGGTTAGGTAAGTTCTGCCGTTACTATATCCCGACTTACGTCGTTGTCTTGTCTTCAAACGCCTTAACGTCAGTTTTGTAGATTCGCAGGAATATTTTGAAGGCTAAGACACCGATTGAAGTAAGTATGAAGGTACTATTTGGGAGAAATATTCGTTTTTTGCTTGGTCGTGTGGGAAGGGGGAGGGGGGCGGAAGTGCCAAGTTATGCAACAAAGTTATATTTACAGCGTATAAAGAGACACGTCACGATTTACGCAACGTAGGGACGGTACGTTATGTAGTGGGGGAGGTTTGACTCGTAAAGGGCGAGTGGTTTTGTAATTTGAAGGTTTAACAATATCTCATTAGCAAGGCCATGTTGAATTTTTTAAGGGGGGGGGCGCCTAAGCCATGGCCTTGTGGTATATGCTCTAGCGGTCACGTAGCATTTCCCCCATGCGGCGATTGGACTGTATAAACGCAAAATACCTGTAGGCAAGCCAAGGAAAGAAATCCTAGCCACTAGTACTACTGAAACATCTGCTTGGAGATTTCATCATCATCTTTAGTACTGCTAAGCCCAATTTAAATTGGATCGATTACTAGCAGCTGCACATGTGTTAATTACAAAACAAGTGACCGGTACAAATAAAAACAAGGGTAACTGAAGGAGGGGACACTAAGGAACGTAAATAACTGAATCTGTTAGTGTAAGAGACAAGACAGTAGCCTGGGTACCATCCAGATTTTCGCTACGCAACGCTAAAAAAAATCGTGAAATCGCGAAAATCCGGATGGTACCCAGGCTAACAAGACAGTGCATTTAGTGTGTTAGTAGAACATATATACAAATATACAAAACGTGTAGGGGCGACTCAATGCAGCAGGGTCCTCGCCAGTCCAGTTAATTATTATGCACACGCCAAGCCTTCGTTATTCTACAGCCTTCACAGCCAGCTGTCAGTGTTTTTTGCTACATGTTATGGAAAATAAAGGGCCATAAGGGCCCACATATAAATTATTGCCATTTCTATTACAAGCAAACGCTGAGCCTAGAATTATCACAGACAATTGTCTAAATGTTGTTTCTGTTTGTTTATTTATTTATAGATATATATTCATTTGACTGGTGCAGATAAGTACATGTAGCTGGATGGTTGGTTGAACAACTATCAAGACTTATAATTACATTATACGTGTTATACATGTATCTATTGGGAAATGTAGGGTTGTTGTATGTATAGTATTGTATGAATCAGCCTATATATGTATTATGAACTACATCCAGATTTCACAAAGTCAGCTGTTACAGTGTTAATAATATTGTTAATAATATTTTAATGATATATACATGTATGTACTCAGAACCAATAGTAAAGCAAGAGAACATACATGTACACATAAACTAAATAGAAAATAGAATTAAACCTTACATAAAATGTGGAAAGTGTGGGTGTTAGGATTGTTGGTACATAGGAGTGGTGGTGGGAAAATGCCATCTGGAAAATGATTACATAATTGCATCGTGCCAGTGACAATATGGATGGAATCATCTTTCAAAAGAATCTGTATCTTTCATACCTGTGAATACCACTTAAATCATAAAACTCTCATGGTTTTCATAGTGACCTCCTACTGCTAGTTGATTATCTTGCATGCGTATTTGTCTTTGACTTTGATTTTACAATGTTTTTGGATCCACAATTTCAATAATACAATGTCACATTATAAGTTCTCCACTGTATGACTATTGTAAATGTGTAAAACAGATCAGTGTTCAGGGCTCAAAATACTGGGTGCATGTGCACCTTAGTGCACCCAAAATTGGAGCTGTGCACCCAATTTTTTTTTCTGTGGGTTTACTGGTGCACCCAAATATTTCTGTGGGTATTTTTGTACATATCAAATGTATGATAGTATACAGGATATTCTTGGCATCTAAGTGTCAGAAAAATGATAAAACCTTATGTGAATTTAGACTTTGAAGTTAGCTCCTATTTCAGATTCAAGCTCAGAAGAGGAGCAATAAGATCTGTAATTAGGTTTTGTTCTATAATGGTGCACCCAAAAAGTTTTTGGTGCACCTAAATTTTTAGGTTGGGTGCACCAGTGCACCTATTCCCAAAAATGAATTTCAAGCCCTGGTGTTTCAAAGTAGCAAGTCTAAAACTCTGCAGAAACCACACTGTCTCTTCTACTGGAAAATAGAACTACTGTGTCGGTAAATGAATTATGCACACTTCAAAAACATCAAAGCCAAATCCTTTCTACTTGAAATTCTTTTTGTAATAATCCAAACTAGACTGTGTGTTTGCTGTTGCTTCATCCTAAGTTTATCCATTACAATTTTTGATGAAGAAAAATAGCAACTTAAAGAAATATAAAATGTTTCGTAGTATTGCCATTGCTTCAAAGACATACCGTGTCACATAGCTCACATATGTTAGGCCATGTTGATTTGATTATATGGATGACATCCTCCAAAACTGATGCGCGTGTGCGAATAAAAAAAAAAGTTTTGCAAAAAAAATTTGTTTTCATTATGAAATCTACGTGGTCATGAGCGTTGAACAAATGGGACAGAATATGGTTTGGCGAATAATCTAATCTTCAAGTTCATTTCCTTACAATTTCGTCTTTTTTCGTTTGATTTGAGCATTCTACGACATTGGTATTGTTTTCATTTTTTTTTTTGCAACTTAAGGTATATATCTGCTTATTTCACAACTGTTTTGTACGATTTACAGTATGGTTGAAAACTTTTTTTTTTTGGAAACGGCCGAAAATTCATGCGCGCGCGGATGTCATCCATATAATCAAATCAACATGGCCTTAATGTGGCATGTTGAAGGCTAGACTGTTATTTGCCACAAGGCCAGAAGGTTGACTCTCTTCAAAGTCCTGTGCCATGTGATGCGTACTAATGGATTCAGCAGCATTCCGCAGGTCTAGAGCAGTCATGTAGAAATCTAGCTGTGGGTCTAGCGTGTTTATGTGAAGTCACCCAAACCGCGATTCGGGTAACTCACATTCCTCACATCTGGACCACGTGCCACACACTCCTGTAAAACTGTGTCCGATTACAATACGCTTGAGCTACATTTAATGTTGTTTGATGAAAACACGCAAGGTGGCGTGTTATTAATGTCAGAGGTCAACGACCTGCTTGCTGGTGCCCCCCCTCCCAGCGTATCTCGGCCGAATGCCGACGTGGTCCCGCCAGAGGCGGTGAAGCTCGCCCTAGAATGGACACATTATTTGACCATTACTGCTCTAGACTTTAAGTTGCTGCCACGTAAAAGTTGGTATTGCATATAAATAAAGAAATATCACCCCGTAATCCATTACCAGGCAAAGTTACATTGAAATCACATTGCGTTCAGACGCAAATCGCGATGCGGGAAAACCGATTCGAAACCACCTCTAGAAGTGGCTTGAGATCGAGGCGCTTTCAATGTGATTCGGAGCGTTCAGATGGAGCCACTTGAAACCGGCTTCGGGGTAAACCGCATGTAAAGCGCCTTGGGTGACTTCACATAAACACGGCCTTAGATATAAGTTAGACCCACTAACTTCACACAGTTTTTCCTGACATCGCAGATAACTACCAATATCCGGACAGCGATAACAGAAAGATTTTTAGTAACACACATTGCCAGAAATATTGCAAAACTCATGGCACTTGGAGTGACATGCTTATTACATTGGTAACTACTACTTAGGCTCGAAATTCTTTTTTTGGGGAGCAAAAATTTCAGGTGCACAATATAAAAGGTCAGCACAATCAATGTTAACAGCATAACCTATACAAATATCTAGGTGCACCTACAGTCAAAAATTGGGTGTGCTGTTTTATTATATGTTTGTATTCATTTTTATTTTCCTCCCATTTACAGGAATGTTTCAGCTAGTTGCGCGGAGGGTGGCCTTCAGTGGGCTGGGCATCAGGCCCCTGCCTGCAGTGCAGAGGCTAGCTGCCAGGGGGCTCTCCACTGCAGCACAACCAGAGAAGCAGGAGGATTCCGATGGTGATGTTCAAGTACAAGAAGAAAGGTCTGCTCCCACTATATTGGCTGATAATCTAGCTAGCCGACAATGCTTTCGATGCATCTGTCCTTGCACTACCAAAAATGCTTTTTCTTGTTTTTCTTGTTTTTCTTTTACATTCTTCTTTCTTGTACAAAGAAAATGTATCTTATAGCAAGAAAATTATTCTTTGAACAAGAAATTTAAGAATCCCCGTAGCAAGAAAATGTTTCTTGATTTTTCTTGCTGTAGCAAGAAAACGATTCTGTCCACAAGAAAATATTTCTTGAACTATATATAAAGGCCTAGCTGTTCTTGAAGCAAGAAAACCATTCTGTACACAAGAAAAGACTTCTTATAGCAGAAAAAAATACCATAAACTTTCTAAAAATTCTTAAGATTCTTGTTGGTGAGCATGATAGTAGAAATATTTTCTTTTCTTAGGAAAAAAGAGGAATAAAATTCTTTGTGTAAGAATCAACATACAAAGTCTTTGAAGAATGTTTCTGGAATTGTCTTGAAAATCCCCCTGGCAAGGAAATATTTGTCAACATAAGAAAATAAGGAAAATAAGGAAGGAAATTTTTGGTACTGTGGAGACTGTTTAAGCATGTTTTACCCATTGTCTTTGCTTTTAAGGTTGTGTGACTGACAGTGTGTGTGTGAGTGTGTGTGTGTGTGTGTGTGTGTGTGTGTGTGTGTGTGTGTGTGTGTGTGTGTGTGTGTGTGTGTGTGTGTGTGTGTGTGTGTGTGTGTGCGTGCGTGCGTGCGTGCGTGCGTGCGTGAACAGACTATAACTTGAAAACTTGTGGATGGATCTTCATGGTGGGTACATTGCAAGTGTTTGCAAAACGATGAAATTATTAAATTATGGCCCCCTGTCGGTTTCCTGAGGTACTGCAGTTTTCATATTTCTGTGTCCTGGATACATGCTCTGTTAGTCTACACAAACACTTTGTTTTATACCTTGCAGGAAACCTAAAACAGGCATCATGATGATGAACCTAGGGGGCCCTGAGACCCTTGAAGACGTGCAAAGCTTCCTCCTGAGACTGTTCAGCGACAAGGACCTTATTCCTCTTCCAGCACAGAGGTCAGGCTACTTCTCTACTTTACTAAGACAATGTGGGACCAACACTTCTGCAGAACGTACTGCACCTGCACGAAACCCGTAATGTATTGTACAATTAGCATTTTGGCAGAATGCCTCATATAGGGTTGTATTCGCTCATATCAGGTTAGCATTTCGACAGTAGTTTCAAATTTTGTTTCGAACAGAATATCCTCTGCAACAGGAAAAATTCTAATGCAACGTTGACCAAAAACCCAACGAAAAACGCGAAAATGTGGAGTTCTGCGCATGCGCAGTACGTTCTGCCGACGTGCTTGTGGGACCACATAAGATTTAAAGATGAAGTCAAAAGGAAATATATTGTTTTGCTCTGTTTCTTCTTCCTCTTCTTCTTCTCCAAACAAATAAAGTCAATGACCTGAACCAGATGTCTGTCACCATGGTAACCAGTGTTGGGTTCCATCATGTTGCAATTTTATGGCAGGAGGGATTTTCCCTTACCATATATGAATGCGTTTGAGTAAGAATTAACAGAGCAGACCATATGCAAAGTAAACATTATGCATTATGCTTTGTTTACAAACTACATTTTGTACTAAAAGTTTCTGTTCCTCCCAGCTTCCTGGCTCCCCGTATCGCTAAACGTCGCACACCTAAGATCCAGGAGCAGTACTCCCGCATTGGGGGAGGGTCTCCTATTAAGATGTGGACAACAAAACAGGGAGAGGGCATGATCAAGATCCTTGACCAGATCTCCCCTGAAACTGGTAAGGGTTGGGCTGTTTGTTTGTTTGTTTGTTCAGTGTTCTCGCCAGGCCTTTTGAGCATAGGGCCCCCTATGCTGTGATTTGGACCCCTATGCTGTCTTTCAAGCAGCATATGGGTGTTTTTTGGGGGGGGAACCTTCATAAATCTTCAAAAAATGAAAATGAAAATATAACTTTAGATTGAAGCTATGGCAAAGAGAAAACCTTAACTTTACAAAATCTGTCCCCAAAAAGTGAGAAATATGGTGTCTCAGAGGGTTATGAGTTTCAAAATTTTTAGGCTCAATATGCGACTTGCGCCACGAAAGTTGCCCTTCTGTACCTGACCCTTATGCTGTGAAGAAAACCTGGTGAGAACACTGTTTGTTTGTTTGTTTTATTAGGATCAATTAATGTTTCCTAAAAATATTAGTTACGTTAGTTACATCAAGAAGAGTAGCGTGCTTGGCTAAAATGCAGAGAGGTGAAGCCACATTAGACTACTAGTTATCAAAAAAGTGTTAAACTTTTGGTGGCCGGTTGCTTACATTTATACACCATTCATTCAATTCTTGATTTTGACTTGAGGGATTTGGCCAATTGTTTGTAAGTTACTAGTATACATGTGGCCATGTGCTGAATGCTTACAATGTAACAGACTGTGTTTTCTCCCCTGTTATTTCCAGCTCCACACAAGTTCTACATTGGGTTTAGGTACGCAGACCCACTGACAGAGGATACTATTGAGCAGATGGAGAAGTAAGTGGGTTGTTATGAATTTCTTGTTTCATTTCTTATTGTGAATTTGTGCCAGATTCTGTATATGCATTTTCCCACTGGCCCCCATAAGGCCACACCAATTTAATGTCTTGGTTAACGGATTTTTCTAGAAAATTAATGGAGCGGGCAGGCGAAAAAAATAAAAACAGGCCTAGGCATCCTATTATGGCCCAAAATGGTACGATAGGAGCCATTAAGTCAACACACCACAATGAATTTCGAACTTTTAATGATACCACTGCATTGAAAGATGGAATGACTGTAACAACTAGGATGAAAAGGACTGTTTTCAACTGTTCAGGGCAAAATATGATCATTTTGCAGTTGGTTCTGAATTTTTTTATTATTTTTTTGCAAATCAGAAAAAAATGAAGCGGGCAAATGCATTAACCAAGAAATTAAATTGGTGTGGCCTAAGTCAGCAGACATGCATATAGTAGGAAATTGAAGAATTTGCTAGAAGTGCAACCCTTCCCCCCCCACCACGCAGGGATGGAATAGAACGTGCCGTAGCCTTCACCCAGTACCCACAATACAGCTGTTCTACCACAGGAAGCAGTCTCAACGCCATCTACAGGTAAGGAAACCTTTCAGATCAAAAGCTATTAAAATGGCAAGGTTGCTGTCAAGTTGTTGACTTGTAGGTGTATGTCCGTCATCATTGACAGAGTGAGACAAATATCAGCATATAAAGATATATATTGATGTCATTAAGCTGTGCATAGTCTACCAGCAAAATATTGCCATTCAAAATGCTGGAAATATTTTGTGTCTATTGGGAACGCATCTATTGCAACATTACACCTGAGCTTCATTGCAATGTGAACCAGTCAGAATTGCCCTGAGGAAGATGACAGATGGTCACCGAAACGGGAACGGGTTTTCTGCGCGTGAGAAATTTGCGCGCGCGTGAAAAATAAAAGTCCCTGAAATATGTCAGAAAATTTGCAGTACCAAATTCTTATGCAGTAAAATGTGATCCTGTGGTATAATTTTCCATCTGTAACTCAAAATTTTTGTTGGAAATTTTAAGTCCCTTGGGAATAGGTTAATTTGCATATTTTCCATAAAATCTGAACATTTGAAAATCACTTGAATTTGTAAGAAATACATGGAAAAGTTGCAAGTATAAGGTATAGGATGGTAAAATGTAACAATCTGAAGCTTTTCTCCATTCTAGAAGCTTGCTTTCATATTTTAGCAAACAAATTCTGTCACGCGCAAATTTCAACCTTTTTTGCGCGTGAAAACTTAACTTTTGAAAATCACTTAAAATCACTGAAATATTGACAAAATACGGCTATGTAGTCTAGAATGCAACAAAATGATGTTCAATTCTGTTTTATGTGTTTTTTCCAACTATTAAGCTTAAAACAGCAAAAAGTTTTTAAAGTCCCTTGGTAATTGGCTAATTTGCATACTCTCATCTGCCGAATAAACATACGGGTACGTTTATTTTTTTTGGCCCGAACATCCACCCAGTACGTTCTTATTTTGCACAGTACGTTTATTAATTTTTTGAAAACCAGTAATTTTTTTCAACTTCGTGTGAAAAAAATTGGCAAATCATCGACGTGAAGACGTTTATAAACGCGTATTGTAGCGAGAAACTTGTCATTTTCGGGCCGGTTTTTGCAATCACCGCGTGCATAAATTCGTCTGAATGTTCTATCGTCATGGGTGGTGCTTATCAAAATACGAAATATTAAATGCTCTTTTTTTTTGTCTATTTAAATTCCTAATTGCAAATAACAGTTAAAGATTTGTGCATATATCAGTAAGGGCGGGTAACACAGGTTACCCGTCAATTTTGGTAATTTTCCGGGGGGTACATTTATTCCGGGGGTATGTGTATTTGATTTTGAAGATTTGTCCGGGGGGTTCGTTTATTCCGGGGGGTATGTTTATTCGGCAGATGAGAGTATCTTCTCGCGCAAATTTTTCACGCGCGCGCAAATTTTTCACACGCACAAAACCCCATCCCACCGAAACTTCGGCTGTGAATAAACCTCTTGGTTGTGTCAAAAGAGTCTCGTCTTTCTACAGGAAGTAGTGTTTCAGAGAGTCAAGATTTCATAGTTTTCCTTTATCAACCTATAGTTTGAGGGTAGTCAGACCTTGAGCACATTAAATATCCCACAAAACTCTTATCGAAAAGAGTATGGGTCCATCAGTGCGAGTGTATCAAACTATACTGTAAGTGTAACAGTTCTGAAGTTGTCATCTTACTAGCGGTTGCTTCTCCACAGGTACTACAAGAAGAGGATCAGAGACAGGGGTGACGAGGGGCGGAGTCAGATGAAGTGGACAGTGATTGACAGGTGGCCAACACACCCCATGTTGGTGGAGGTAAAACCAGAGACCAGTTGTTATGTTTACCGAAGGAAAACATAATTGTTTTTGCTCTATTTCCTCCTCTTCCCTTCCAAAAGGTCAATGACCAGAACCAGAAGTTAGTCACCATGGTAACTAGTGGCGGGTTTAGATAATGTTGCAATTGTATGGTAGGAGGGATTTAGACTCCTGTCACCATATAATATATATTATATAAAATGTGTTTGAGTAAGAAAGAATTAACAGAGCAGACCATATGCGAAGGTAAACCTTATGCATTTGCTTTGCAAATGTTACCTTTCTAGTTTGTCTATGAATTCCAAAATTAATAAGAAGAAGGAAGACATATTGTTTTTGCTCTGTTTCTTCTTCACCCAAACACATGAGGTCAATGACCTGAAGGAGAGAGCTGCCACCATGGTAACTGTTGCTATAGCAGACACCCTGTGGTGTTGGGTTACATTATGTAGCAAGTGACAGGACAAAGTTGGAGGGACTGGTCACCCTATATATGAATGTGTTTGTGAGTAAAAATAAACAGAGCAATAGTCTGGTTGACTAAACCATCTGAAGGTGTAAACATTATACATTTCCTTTGCAAATGTTACCTTTCTATCATGCTAAGATGAAAATCCTTGCTAGAACCCTGGTTCTGCATCTAGGGGTGACACGGGTTGAAGGGCATGCGCACAAGTTGCTGGGTGAGAGACCTCAAAATTGAAATGAGCTAAAGAACTTTAAAACCCTTTCTTGGGTGGGATTTTTGTTGAACTCTTGGCATTTTTGTGGTGGATTGTACAGTGTAGGGTTTTGAGTGAATGTTTTTCCCAAAAAAATGAAGTTTTTTCATGAAGTTGACTTGTTATGGGCTTGTCTGTTGCCATACACCCCTCCTGCCTAATGCCTTGGTATCGACCTAGAATATGGGGTCAAAGTGCACGGATTCTTATAAACAAGGCTGTACCTCGAGACTCGCCGTCCACTTTTTTCCGAAACTTGTTGTAGGTACATATTATTAAATTGGCTAACACGTGAAGGTAAGTTTGTGTGACAAAAACTAGAGATATGATGCCCGTTTTCATGTCTGATTTAGCATATGTTTCAATGGAGAACCCTTTCAATGGTGTCTCCCCTATAGTTTGTTGAGTTTGACATAAAAACTTGTTCCCTCCTGCCCAGTGTTTTGCCCAGAACATAGAGAAGGAGCTGGCCAAGTTTCCCGCAGACGTGCGAGACGATGTGGTCATCCTGTTTTCTGCACATTCCCTCCCCATGTCGGTAAGTGGTGTGGAGGGTGGGCAGTGATTTTGACAGTTGATTGATAGGGAGGTTAACCCTGGAGATGCCCCATATTGTCAAGTATGTACAGATGGTACACATTTATTGTGTGGACCTGATATATGCAATGGAACGGTTATATTCTTTGTATTATTTTCAGTGGCTATATTGTGGGTCTGTGGGTCAGTTTGTCTGAGTAGCAGTTTTGTGGATGGTTGGAGGGTGGGAAGTGATTTTGACAATTGATTGTCAGTGAGGTCAAGTCTGAAGATGGCCCATCAAGTGGGTGGTATGTGGAGGATTTCAGGAAGTGATGTGACACCCGATTAAATTGCATCATAGAATCCCCCTACATTTTAGATGCTGAAACTCGAAAGATATGTAAACTGAGGATACTCCTTGATAGTTTGAAATCCCTGTTTGTTTGTTTTTTTGTTGTTGCTCAGGTGGTGAACCGAGGAGACCCATACCCTCAGGAGGTTGGTGCTACTGTACAGAGGGTTATGGAGAGACTGGGCATGTCGCACCCTTACAGACTGGTCTGGCAGTCTAAGGTAAGAATGTACTAGTACAGAGTCATGGAGAGACTTAGGGCATTTGGCCCATGTACATGTACATGTGGGGTGTGAAAATGCAATTAAAGTTCATTGTCAGATACTGGAGTTTTCTTGTACACAACCAATTATTTACATGTACCTTGCTGACGTTTCGATGTCTATCATGCAGGGACCTTCCTCAGAGCTTCTGACTGGAGTTCTGCTTCTCACCGCTATATGTAGCCTATATTTGCGGCAAGAACACAATCCCAAACGTCAGCAAGGTAATTACTTGGTTGTGTAAAAGAAAACTCCAGTATCCTATACTTTATCAACCTGATGAAACTATTTTTGGGATGTTCGTTGTTATTTTAGGTAGGTCCGTTGCCCTGGCTGGGTCCGCAGACAGACGAGGTGATCCAAGGACTGGCCAACAACGGGAAGAAGAACCTCCTCCTGGTGCCCATCGCCTTCACATCTGACCACATCGAGACTCTACACGAGCTGGACATCGAGTACGCAGCCACACTGGCCGCTGAGGTGAAAAAACGTTTATAGTTCACTTGCAGAATGAAAATATTTATTTGCACGACAGAACTTTATTGCACAACAATTGTACATGGTACAATGTATGGCAACAACTATTGAACAAAGTACAAAAAAAGTATAGATTCTGAATAGGACCTAATATAGAATAAAACCTAATAAATCCAAATTACTCAAACAACAAGGGCTACTTCATGTATACGTAAGGTCAATGACCTGAAACAGACATCTGTCACCATGGTAACTGGTGTTGTAGTAAACGCCCTGGCAGTTGAGGTGAAGGCCGTTTTCAGCTTACAGTTTTGTTAGCTTCACCAAGAAGGTTATGTTTTCAGTAGTGTTTGCCTGTTTGTGAACAGCATAACTCAAGAAGGGAATCTAAATATTTGGTATGTCAATAGGGTGGCCCCAAATCTGGAAATGATTAAATTTTGGGCCCCCTGGCAGCTTTCTTTGGTACTGCAGTAGAACTTTCAGGTTTTGATATCTCATGACTATGCATGATGTACAAAATGACGAATATACTGGTGGATGTACCAACTACTAGTACTGAGTACCAAATACAACCTCAGAAAAAAACAAGAAATAGTCATCAAGTACAAAATGTACCAGAGTTATCAACCAAGGATTGAGGTGTTGAAAAACTCATTCTTTCCTGGATTATGCATAACTAATTACTAAAACAAGAAATTCTCAGCAACTCTAAATACTAATGAATGTGTTTGTGAAATCATCAATTTTTGCTTTCTTTTTTTTTCCAGTGTGGAGTTGAGAATGTGAGGAGGGCGGAGTCACTCAATGATAACCAGTTGTTTATTGAGGTAAGTGGTCTTAAGTACAGGTTTGACTGTATATGGCAAAACTTCTGTACTTAGTTGTAAGACCCAAATAGACTGCTGGCTTCTGGAATGAAATCAGGGCCCATCACCCCTCTCTGAACCGTGACGGTGGGAGATTTCGTCTTCCCGCCACTTTTGATGCACTCCTGACGTCATCACACTTTCGACTTCCGAAGAGACATGCATCTGACGAAGGTTGATGAGATTGACTGACCAAAAATTTACCGTTGGTGAGTTCCTTTCCTGTGTTGGAACAAAGTTTAAACTCCACAACTATAGACAGCCAGATGCTTGCCATATTTTGCTATGTTGTAGCAATGCACTGCCTCCTTTAAAAGAAAGCTCTGGGACTGACTCGGCGACCCTTATATCTATTCACACTAAACCTGACTTCTCCACATGAAATCCTTCATAGATTAAGTTCCTTTGGAGAAAATTTTTGTTTAGGCCACACCGATTTAATTTTATGGATGACATCCTCTGAAGACCCCCAAATAAAAAAAATATTCCGGCCAAAAATAAAAATGCTACTAAACCACAGGAATACGAATTCGCGGCAGTACTTAGCGACGTACACGACAAGCCGGCACATGCTGGCTTTTTTGCGGAATTTATGAATCGGTGTTGTACGTATGTACTGAGTTCTTGAGTCGTGGAGCTTCGAATTCGATAGCTTGGGTGCTCGGCTCCATATTGTTGCAAATTACCATGGACTACCTAGGCCAGAGCCTCGATGGACGTGATTTTTTTTTTTCAAGGCGACAGGTGAAAATCAATGCGCGCGTGGATGTCATCCATAAAATTAAGTCGGTGTGGCCTTACTTGGAATAATGTAACAGATTGTTAAGACACAATAAGTTATATGTCGCCGTAATGTTTTGTCATGTCTTGTCAGCAGGGCAACTTTGTAATAGTTAGGCTGCCCTGGCTGTGAGGGTTGAACAATGCACAGTTAAAGTTGATTGACAGTTTTTGGCCCCTTTCACCCCCCCCCCCAGGGCCTAGCGGACCTTGTGAAGACTCACCTGGACAAAGGAGTTTCGTGTACGCGGCAGCTCATGCTCCGATGTCCGATGTGCGTCAACCCGGCATGCGGACCCGCCAAGCAGTTCTTCCACGACCAAGGACAGTAGACGTGACGTGTTTTAAACCTGTGTCAAACTAGCATGTCAGCAGAACGTCACTTGCCTGAACGAAACAATTACGGTTTCCGTCAGTTCTTCCACAGGGGTGCCAGAGTATACAGTGCAATTTACGGAACACAGTGCAAATTTACGGAATACAGTGCAATTTTACGGAATACAGTGCAATTTTACGGAATACAGTGCAATTTTACGGAATACAGTACAATTATGGTACTAGTAAAATTGCACTGTATACTAATACGATTGCACTGTATTCCGTAAAATTGCACTGTATACAACATGTACTAATACCATTTTACATGTACTCTATTCTGTAAAATTGCAGACTGAGTGTATTCTGTGAAAGTGCAGTGTATTCCGTAAAATTACACTGTATACTCTGGCGTCCCTGTTCCACAACCAAGGACAGTACACTACTTGTTTTAAACCTGTGCAAACTCTTATATCAGCAGAACATAGTTTGCCTGCACAAAACAATGGTTAATGACGGACGTTTTGTCAACGTTGCATCTGGATTTTGTCTGTTGAATAAGATATCTTTTCTGACACAACTACAGGCAGGAACCTTAAATCCTTACATACCCAAAGATGAAACCTTAAACGATACATTCTGTATAAGTTCTATGCACGTTACGTTCCAGATTTCGCACAGGCAAAGTTTGTTCTGCTGATGTGTTTGCTAAACTGGTCACAGTCAGCTACATGTATTGTATATATACTTAGTAATATATTGCAGCCAGAGCTTTGGTTACTTATTTTCTATGCATATACTAGTTAGGCCATTAATAAACACATTGCAATGACAAGTAGATTGCTAATTAATGACTAGTAAGTTTCCCTTAGGTAGTTTCTCTCTTTTTACTTCACCCCAGAGAGTGCAGTCTTGTTTTTGATGTGTCTGTCTGTGTGTTTCTGCACCACAGTTTCTGTATGTTCTCACATAAGCTTCAGTCACAACCCGCCATACGTGCTTCTCCGTGCTGTCTACGTGCAAAAAACGTGGGCAAACGTAGGGCATCCGTGTGTGGTGAGTACCGCTTCCGTATGGAATCCTACGGATTTGGGAGCACGCAGACACGCCGTAGAACTTTAAGTGCATGTTAAACTTTTTCTGCGTGCGGTCTGCGGATTCACCACCCGTGCGTGTGAGTACGGGAGATGCGCGTGCCCCGTACGTACCGTACGAAAGACGCACGTGTGAGTACGACCTCCTTACGGTAAAGTTGCAATCGCACAGAGATCGTACGTTGTAAGCACGTACAACTCACTTACCACTTGCGCAACGTACGATGCACGCAACCGCTCACAGCCAGACGTGGCGTGCAGACTACTCTCTTGCACCTTGCGCATTCGTGTGAGTGACGTGCGTCGACGCCACTCCTTCCCCACGTTTTTCAGAAAAAACATAGCAGACATAGCCTCCCAAAAAACGTACGGACAAAAAGCATGTATGGCGGGTTGTGACCGAGCTATACATGTAGGGGGTGAAGTTTGCTACCTCTACTTCGCTTCTGTTCTGTTGCTAGTGCTAGGGACCAAAAACCTAACCTTGATATGCCTAATAACAGGAAAGCTTTCGAAGTCATTATGAAAGCAACAACGGCAGCTAAACTTTCATGAAATCTCACCTAATACAGAAAGAGCTGCAGTTAGGCATAAGCTCACTAGAGGGCATTATTTTATCACAAACAGGCTCTAGCTGGTTCAAGCTATCACAGAATGGATCCTGTTGTCATTAAAAAAAGGTAGCTAGAGTTATAATACTGGTAAAATAATTTACATGTAGGTATGACCAGTCTTGATTCTAACTTCCAATCTGTAGGTTTCATTTTTTACTTAAATTTGCTTCTATCTTAAATCTTCACACTATAGCACTATATTGGGTGTGGACAAAATGAACACAATTTCTAGTTACTCTCCTTAAGGCCACAGCAAGTAATTTATATGGATGACATCAGCTGCGCGCGCATTTTGCCTGATTTTGGTTAAAAAAAACAAGAAATTTTGTTGCCTTCTGACAGTGGTCAACATGCCAAAAATGGGCAAAGATGTCAGTTGCCATGCCGGAAGGTGGATGGCAGATAACTATGAAGAGAGGAGACAAGAAAAGGCTCTGATTTAATGTTTTGTTTCTTACTTTGATGCAGTGATATGTGATGCTGGCTGTGTATATATGATGTTCCTACTGAATCAAAACCATTTGTACAATGATTCAGTCAAAATTTTAAATTATAGGAACCTTGTTTTTTTCGGCCCGCCTTGTTTTTTCTTTGCCCGCTCACATTAGATTTGGAGTCTGCGGAGGATGTCATCCATATATAATAAAATTTACTTGCTGTGGCCTAACCCTTAGAACTCTAGTATGGTAGTATCTAACTTCTCAGGTAACCTTAGAGATGTAGACTACCCTTAGTGTGTTGATGGTTAATACTTAGTAAACCTTAGAGCTGTACAGCACCCTTAGAGCTATAGAGCACCCTTAGTGTAGCAATGGTTAAAACTACTTAAACCTTAGATCTGTACATGTAGGGCACCCTTAGTGTGTTGATGGATAAAACTAGTAAACATTCATTCATTCACTCCATTCATTCATTCATTCATTCATTCATTCATTCATTCATTCATTCATTCATTCATTCAACCTTAAGAGTTGTTTGGCAACCTTAGTGTGATGATGGTTAATACTACTGTCTTAAATCACCATCAAAGATTTATGTATTGACTGAAGAAGTCTGTGATATCTTTTAGTGTTTGAATGAGAATTTTCAGATCATGTTTTGCTTTTCATAAGAAATAGAAATTGTTGGCAAATGTTACAATATATCACCGATTGATTGTGGAAATTCTAGGTAATGCAAAATACAGATATACATTGTTTTTAAAGCTTTGATTTGTATATCATGCTTGGTAGTAGTACTAAAAGTATACTGTTATAGACTGAGTATAATGTTTTGAATGTTGTTAAATTTCTGGCCAAAAAGGTTTCTGGCCAAAAAGGTTTCTGGCCAAAAAGGTTTGAGGCCCCCCTCCCCCTTCAAACAGTTTTATGTACGATCATGTACAAATGTATAGTGCAATAGTTAAGTTGTCATTGAACATAGGACATCAAAACATAGGGATGTTGGAACATAGGGTTAAATAGTTTAATCTGTTTAATCATAATGAAGATAAAACGCATATCTGCTCAAAAGAAATATCAGATATTTGTAATTTTGAAGTCATGCCTTAAAATATCAGAGTTATCAACCAAGAATTGAGGTATTCAAAAACTTGTATTTCCCCAGAACTATCGTAGACTGGAACTCGTTGCCACCAAGCACAGTTGGGGCATCATCACTAGAAAGCTTTAAACAACTCCTGCAATTAAATGTGCAAAGATTGAATGTAGCAAGTCGTTCGGTGTGATATAGCTAGCTGCCACCGTGCCGCGTGCCTGTGAAGCTGGTGTGTAACACCGAAGGGCGGTTATACCGGCTATACAGATACAGAAGCTGGTGTGTTACGCCGAAGGGCGGTTATACCGGCTATACAGATACAGAAGCTGGTGTGTTACGCCGAAGGGCGGTTATACTGGCTATACAGATACAGATACAGATACAAAAGTATTATAATCTTAAATTTTAACCTGCCCTAAATCCATAAAATGACAGATGTGGATGCAAGTGAAGTCATGTTTACAATGTACCCATTAATGTGGGAATGTACTAGAATTCAAGGAACGAAAACAAACAGTAAGATGTGTTTTTGATCGAGTTTTTGTTAGACTATGTCAATATGCCATCTTTTGGACAGTGTACATGTACATAGTTGTACATTGAAATTGTATACTACATTGTGTCAATTAGCACTGTGTTGTTTTCCCATTTTCTAGTACATGTACTTCAAAACTTCTCAGGCATTTTTTAAGATTCTCAACAAATCTCAAATCATGCATTAATTCAATGAAACATTGTTTATTGTTAATCTGTAACATATACAGTTCAGTGGCACATTGTGGAAATCTGTAAGTCACAACTATACCAGAAATTACATACGATTTATGATTGAAAATATGCAGATATTAGACATGTACGGGCACATTCGTTATATGATCGCTAACTAAGGGCAATACAGTCATGTAGTTGTGCATGTTTCTTAAAAAATTTGGCTGTCTTGTTATCCAAAAGGTTATCTTTAAATCTTTTCAGTTGGTTCTGTCACAGCCTGTTTCAAAATACTACAAAATTGTGTGACAACCTTAGGCCACACCAATTTAATTTCTTGGTTAACGGATTCGCCCGCTTCATTTTTTTCTGATTTGCAAATAAAAATAAAAATTCACAATCAACTGCAAAATGCTCATATTTTGCCCTGAACAGTTGAAAACAGTCCTTTTCATCCTAGTCGTTACAGTTATTCCATCTTTCAATGCAGTGGCATCATTAAAAGTTCAAAATTCATCGTTTAAATTTTGAACCAACCTGGTGTGTTGACTTCATGGCTCCTATCGTACCATTTTGGGCCATAATAGGATGCCTAGACCTGTTTTTTTTTCGCCCGCCCGCTCCATTATTTTTCTAGAAAAATCCGTTAACCAAGAAAATAAATTGGTGTGGCCTTAGACTAGAGTTGTGTACCAGTACACCTGCAAAAATTGATTAGGCTCACTTCCGGACCTGTACCTAAACCTGTGTACCTGTACCTAACATTTGTGTAGGCACAGAGCTTTTCCTTAAATTCTGAATGTGACTGTGTACCCTTGCTAACAATAGTTGATCACAGCTCTAATGCTAACTTTTAATATAAAAACATTACGTTATGCACTAGGGATAGTAAATGGTTATGTTATTGCCATAGATTTTAATGGCAAATATTAGAGTTGATATGTCTTGCCATGTAGATATTCAGAATGGACAGATGGCATCATAATAATCATGAATTTTTACATCATAACATATATTCATGTGAACAGGTTTTGCTTACAATATAGCCCAGAAAGCATTTGACTTGATATTTCCTAGACTTTTTCGTACGTAATATTATATATACACAGGGTATTTTTCATAACATCCAGGCATCATATCAATGAATTTGACATCATAATCTGTGCACTGTATATTGTCAACAGTACACAAACATTTCCACACTTCTATACGGTTGCTAAATATCCAAACATATCTAGATATTGTTTCCTGTAACTTTTGCAATGACTTTTTGGTAGGGTCCATCTTAGCCTAAAGACATAAAGAGCCATTTTTAAAAAAAATCATACTATTAGGCCACACCAATTTAATTTCTTGGTTAATGGATTCGCCTGCTTCATTTTTTCTGATTTGCAAATAAAAAAAGATTCTCGTTCAGAATCAACTGCAAAATGCTGATATTTTGCCCTGAACAGTTGAAAACAGTCCTTTTCTTCCTAGTTGTTATGGTTATTCCATCTTTCAATGCAATGGTATCAATATACTATCATTAAAAGTTCAAACTTTATTGTTTAAATTTTGAACCAGCCTGGTGTGTTGACTTCATGCGTCCTATCGTACCATTTTGGGCCATAATAGGATGCCTAGGCCTGTTTTTATTTTTATTCATATTTGTTTTTTCGCCCGCCCGATCCATTATTTTTCTAGAAAAATCAGTTAACCAAGAAATTAAATTGGTGTGGCCTTTAGCTTTGTAGTTGATTCAAAATTAATTGCTAAAATCGCAATCCTTTGCGGCAGAGAATAATTGCAGAATAACTTAAACTGGATTTGTGGGACCTTTGTTATTATACTAACTGTCTTGGAATTCTTGATGCAAAACTATGATCTAAAAGATAACAAAACACATGTCACAAGATACACATGTATACAGAAAGTTGTTCCTTGTGTTTTGAATTCCTTGCATAATCTGTCAAACATTTGGTCCTAGCCAACACTGAAAAGGATTGTTACATGAAGTTCAATTTATTTACAAAAGAAATATTTTCAGATGACAGGAGCTATCAAGATTATTGCTCAAGATGTAATTGCAACTGGCACACTCTTTGTGTGAATGTTACAACCAAGCAACGAAATGAGCAGACTACAAACAAATACATTGATATTATGAGTTGGTCCCTTAGATAGCTCACTGCCATGTATTTTCTTGATTTGAGTTAAAGAGAACAGTTTTTGTTGGTCAACATAGCAAGATTTAGGATTATGTTGATATCTTAATTGATGAATTTTTGCTCATAGTTGATATATACAAAAAAAGTGCTCGATTAGTATGCCATTTGGAATAAAAAAAATGTCACAACTTGTATCTTATATGTAGCTGTTGTGCAATTGTGGTATGTTTACTGGATATGGGGAACATATTAAGGCCACACCGATTTAATTTTATGGATGACATCCTCTGAAGACCCCCAAACTAGTGCACGCGGGCGAATAAAAAAAGATTCCGGCCAAAAATAAAAATGCTACTAAACCACAGGAATACAAAGCTGGTATTGTGAATTCCCGACAGTACTTAGAGGCGTATACAACAAGCCGGCACATGCTGGCTTTTTGCGGCATTTATGAATCGGCAGTATACTTATGTACACTGAGTTCTTGAGTCGTGGAGCTTTGAATTCGATAGCCTGGGTGCTCGGCTCCGTTTTGTCGCTGACTAGCAGGCCTAGAACCAGGCCAGAGCCTTGGTGGAGGTGATCTTTTTTTTTTGAGGGCGACAGGCGAAAATCAATGCGCGCACGGATGTCATCCATAAAATTAAGTCGGTGTGGCCTAAGCAAACAAAATATTATCACATATGATAATCATTGTCCAATGAGAAAAGAAACATTTGAAGGTACTGAATGTGACTAAGGAATGATCATGCTTTGAAACCATAATTTTGTCAAGTTGATAAAAAGTTAAAACATAAGAGAATGCTTTCTTACTTTTTTCTTTTAAGTATACACCAATGCATTCATACATGTATATTAGGCTAACATAATTCCACATGAGTTTGCATTGATAACAGTTACAAAAACAAAACCTTTGGTTGATTTTAAATAGTTGTGCGTAACTTAACTTTGTGTAGCATTCGGATAAAAGCTTTAAGACTTAACCATCTTCCTGCAAATGTAGCCTTTTGGCACCAAATTTGTATTGCTTTTGGATTAGGTAGCAGGGAGAAGGTTAATCAGGCTATAAAACAGATTTAGCAACAGAAGGGTTACATATAACACTTGTTTCTTACAACCACTGCCTGGCAAGGTGTTATTATATAGTGAATGAATGACTTTTTTCAAAACTTCTTTATCAACACAACTTCTATTATGAAAAACTTAAACTGTTCTCCAACCCAAATTTGACTCACCAGAAATTTTTGACTGAATCACTCAGTCTTCCTCAGCTATCTGACCCAAATGCTGTGGACACGTGATTTTTCCCACGTGTGACGTCAGCAAAGGGTCAAAGGTTGTCTGAAGTCGATATCGCCCCCTGTCCCGGTTGAGCGATGGTTGAAGTGCCCTGATGTATATGGCCTCTTTTATGCCTCTCTTGAAGTAATCGTGTTCGGTATCCAAGATACCGTTTGACCCTTTGCTGACGTCACACGTGGGAAAAATCACGTGTCCACAGCATTTGGGTCAGATAGCTGAAGAAGACTGAGTGATTCAGTCAAAAATTTCTGGTGAGTCAAATTTTGAGGTGAACAGTTCAAGTTTTTCATAATGTAATTTAGCAACTCAGATGAACTTTCATGCTAACACAACTTCTATTTTCTAGCATGAAAGTTCAACTGGATCGTTAATTTCATTCTGGAACAATTAAACTGTTCTCAGCTATCTGACCAGATCACTAAGGACACATGCCTTTGATGTCAAATGGGACAAAAGTTGTTGAAGTCTATATCGTCCTTCGTCCCGGTTGAGAGAATGTTAGCACACCCTGATCGATGTAGATGGCTTTCTTACCCCTTAGGCCACACTGACTTAATTTTATGGATGACATCCTCTGAAGACACCAAAATTAGTGCGCGCGGGCGAATAAAAAAAATTCCGGCCAAAAAAAAAAGATGCTACTAAACTACCGGAATACAAAGCTGGTAAAGTGTATTGTGCAATAGCGGCAGTACATAGCGACGTATATGACAAGCCTGCACATGCTGGCTTTTTGTGGAATTTATGAATTGGCACTGTACGTATTCTTGAGTCGTGGAGCTTCGGCAGCCTGGATGCCATCCTCCATAGTTACCACAGGCTCCGTATTTCTCGCTACCTACGATGGACTACCCAGGCCTAGAGCCAGGCCAGAGCCTCGGAGGATGTGATTTTTTTTTTTGAGAACAGGCGAAAATCAATGCGCGCGCAGATGTCATCCATAAAATTAAGTCAGTGTGGCCTTAACTGTCACAAAGTAGTGGTGTTTGGTAAATAAAATCTTTACACCTTCCAACAAAACTGTGCCCTGGTGAACATTTTGCCGAGTTCTAATTTTTTGGGTTGGAGAAAAGTTGAATTGTTCCAGTGAGAACTTCTATTGTCTTTGTGTTATTCCGACAATAATGGATAAAAATAGTACAATAATGGCTAGTCTTGCGATGCTGGAGACAATCGTGATTTCGAAGCGAAGGGGGAAATATTATATGTCTGAAGATCACACTTCTGTGTGTGGAATGTTGGTTGCTTACAGCTGCACTAGTCTTGTGCAGTGCAGTACTGGCTCGAGCTGCTAGGTGGGGTTGTGAAGCTATGGCGTATTCACTGTTGCAGCTCTCATGTCGAAGACGTTTGCACTGTGACCCACCTCCGCCATGTGTCCGATGGTGGTGGCGAGGTTACTGTTGTTCGACTCTACAAACAACAACAAAATTCATTTGTTTCCCTTTAGCAGTGGGGAAAAAAGCAAGAATAAAACAAAGCAAATGCATAATGTTTACCTTCACATGATCTTGCCCAACAAGCTACTGCACTGTTAATTCTTTCTCAAAGTCAAATCAATGGTGACCAGCCCCTCCAGCTCTGTTCTGCTACATAATGTAACCCGACACCACAGGGTGTCTGCTACAGCACCAGTTACCATGGTGACAGACATCTGGTCCAGGTCATTGACCTTTTTTCAAAAACTTGATTGTTCATAAGGTACAGGTACATAAGTGACTAGTAACAGCATATGCCATTGACAAATATACAGTAATTACAAGGCCATGGACCTTATTTGTTTGGAGAAGAAGAAGAAATTGAGCAAAAACAATATGTTTTCCTTCCGCGAAGGTAAACAAAAAATGCTATCCTCTGGCATCCTAGTTAGACCCCCTTTCCCATAGACGAAATGTTGCCTCTCTATCCCTCTTTTACAGATATTTTCATGGTCACTGATCTGCAGAACTCACCCAACTTAAGTTCCACCACTCAAAACTTTTAAGCGTTCCACTTAAGGTTCTCCATCAGCTCACACAACTTCACTGTCCAAATTCCTTGTTCGAAATCTTTTTACAGTCACTCAGTTTCTTTCCCCGTTCGGCCAAGCTTTGGAATTCCCTCCCTGACAAGTGTTTCCCACCAATTAACCTACAATCTACAGGCTTTCAAATCAAACGTTCACCACCATCTCTTGACATAGTCATGTTTCTCTCATATTTCTAGTTCAATGACGAGAAGTGGTCGTATACTAGGCCTTGCATTGAACCACTCCGTTAAAAAAATAATAATATGGAGCTAGACGAAGAAAAGAGTATCCCATGATTTTGTCCTCACCAGTTCTTGTGCGGTATCCGTGGTTGGTGTGTGTGGTGAGGTCCCTGGGTACCAGTGAGGAGAAGTAGATTCGCAGGTTCTTCCCCAGACCCTTTCTCAAGTTCTGCAGATGGCTGGTCAGGACTATCGACGTCAGGATCTGGACCAATATGGGTTCAAAACGTGTTTCTCTGTTTTAGACCTGAGACAAAAATGCTGTGTCTAATCTCCGAGCAGATACCACAGTGACAAGTTTGATAACCAAATCAAATTGATATTTGAGTGATAAAAATGTTGTTGATTTGTTATCAACATGTTTTCCTCATTTTTATTTCAAGTAAGGTGGTATTACTCATGTCATCATGACACAAGTACATTGTCTGTCACATAGAAGGTCAAACCTGAAAGTTTATCTTGAATTTGTAAAATTTGTAGTAGAGGGGATTCATTCCTCAAGCTAACCGACATCTCACACACGCAGTCCTCCCTCAGTAACACATTTGGAGCCGCATACATGTAGTTCAATAGTTATAGTAGTGTAACATTTTACGTACCGTAAAAATAAGGTGACCGACAAACTGTGCTGCTGACGAAAAGTATGTTTTCCACAATCCCTGGTACATGGAAACAAAACAACATGGCTTAAAAGTAAGAACAAGTTATAATAAATGGTTTTTATTGTCCAAACAGTACCCGTGCAGTCACAGCCTTTATACGGCTGAATTGATGCAGGGTATCACATAATAATACAAATCACAACAATTGCAACAATCAAATAATACACATAAACACATATTTGTTCCACAATTATTTTTTGTGGAACTGTCGCAAGGGTCTGTGCGGCTGCCATTCGGCGCCACAAGGTGACCTCAATACGACTTTCCCCAACCGAAGTTAGGTACCCATTCACACCTGGGTGGAGTGAGGAAAGTCGTGTAAAGTGCCTTTCCCAAGGGCGCAACGTCGGGGCGCATGTTCAGACATGTACCGGGTACGACTCGGAATCGAACCCGGGTCTCCCCGGTTCATAGTCGATTGCTCTAACCACTACACCACCCGACGCCTTGAAGTTGACAGTATTATGGGTTGTCAAATGCTTTGAAATTCTCTATTTCATCCACACACATACTATGGACATACAAGCAAACACATCAAAACAAAACCTCTGTACACTGGCATAAGGCCATGTTGATTTGATTATATGGATGACATCCGCGCGCGCATGAATGTTCGGCCGTTTCCAAAAAAAGTTTTCAACCACGCTGTAAATTGTACAAAACAGTTCCAAAATGAGCAAAAATACACCGTAAAATATCTAAAAACCATACCAATGTCGTAGAATGGTGAATGGTGAACACCGAAGCTGGTGTGTTACGCCGAAAGGCGGTTATACCGGCTATACTGATACAGATACAGATACAGAATGCAAAAAAAGACGAAAATGTAAAGAAACAAATTTGAAGAGTAGATCATTCAACAAACCATATGTATTCTGTGTCATTTTTTTAACTTTCATGACCACGTAGATTTCGTATTGAAAGCAACTTTTTTTATTTTGCAAAACTTTTTTTTATTCGCACGCTCGCATTAGTTTTGGGGTTCCCAGAGGATGTCATCCATATAATCAAATCAACATGGCCTAATAAGAAAAGGTGAGCAAGAAGTCCAAACCGCAAGGAGGTAGTTTGAGTCATCTATTTCGACCAAAAAGGTCCCGTTTCATTCTGTGCAGAGCATAGGGGTGGTGCCTATCTCCATTTCGGTAGCCCTTGGGCCACACAGTTGAGCATGCACTACAGCAGGGGGCTAGTCCGCTGGATTTTGACCAAACATTTTGCGTTATATTCAAATGACATCTTGATACTCCTCCCAACTCGACCTCTATGAAAAGCGGCCCTGGTGGCCAAATAGTGATTTCAAGTAAATAAGAGTGATTTCAAGTAAATAAGGCCACACCAATTTAAATTGTTGCTTCTTGGATTTTTTCAGAAAAAAAATGAAGCGACAGGGCGAAATAAACAAAATTAAAAAAAACAGGCCAAGGCACCCCATGATGGCCAGAAATGTTGAGATATGAGCCATGAAGTCAACATACCAGGCTGGTTTATAATTAAAACTTACAATAGATTTTGAACTTTAAATGATACAAAGTTGCATTGTTACATCAAAAAACTTTAATGACTAGGAAGAAAGGGACTGTCGTAGGGGCCAAACTATGTCTTTCATTGAGCATCTAACGTTAGCAGTTGATTCAAAACCTAAAATCTTTTTTTCGAATCGGAAAAAAATGGACAGGGCGACTCCGAGAAGCAACAAATTAAATTGGTGTGGCCTAAAGGCACAAACAAAATACAAAGGGTGTTGCACATGTACTCACCGCTCCAGGATTGACAAGCATGATGAGGTATGCTATGTTCAGTCCCAGACCCATGACGTTGAGGGCCCCTTGACCAATCAGCCAAAACCACAGCAAGCACTGGAAATCCTTCAGGCAAAAAGAAGCAACAAAACGTTTTTTTCAATAATAATTGTAGTACATGAAAGGTAACGTTTGCAAGCAAAAACATAATGTCAGCCTTCACATGCCAAAGCCTAACAAACTACTGCTTTGGGTACTATTCTTACTCAAACACATCCATATACATGTACATGGTGACCAGCCCCTTCAACTCTGTACTGCTACGTAATGTAACCCAGCACCACAGGGTGTCTACTACAGCACCAGTTACCATGGTGACAGACGTCTGGTCCAGGTCATTGACCTTATGTGTTTGGAGACTGAGAAACAGAGCCAAAAGCAATGCGAAGTTAACATAAAAAGAAACCTGGTCCAGGCCATTGACCGTATGTGTTTGGAGAAGAAGAAACACTGAGCAGCAAAAACAATTTGTTTTCCTTCTGCGAAGGCAAAAAAAAGGAGAAACTTACCGGACTTGTGCACCAAGAGTACATGGCCAGTATTGCAGACATCACCATGGACAGGAAGTAGGTACTGAGTAGCATGTACGCCACCACCAGAACTTTCTTCCAGTATTCATCTGGAACAGGCGGAGCATTTATGCTTTTAGTCGACAAGCATCAGGGGTGCCAAAGTATACAGTGCAATTTTACGGAATACAGTACAATCGTATTTGTATACAGTGCAATTTTACTAGTAAAATTGCACTGTATACTAGTAAAATTGCACTGTATACTAAATACGATTGCACTGTATTCCGTAAAATTGCACTGTATGGTAATACCATAATTGTACTGTCACGTAAAATTGCACCGTATTCTAGTAAAATTGCACTGTATGCCACAAAATTGCACTGTATTCCGTAAAATTGCACTGTATTCTGTAAAATTGCACTGTATTCTGTAAAATTGCACTGTATTCTGTAAAATTGCACTGTATTCCTTAAAATTGCACTGTATTCTGTAAAATTGCACTGTATTCCTTAAAATTGCACTGTATTCCGTTAAATTGCACTGTATTCCGTTAAATTGCACTGTATTCCGTTAAATTGCACTGTATTCCGTAAAATTGAATTGTATTCCGTAAAATTGCACTGTATTCCGTAAAATTGCACTGTATACTCTGAGCATGAAGAAAGAAAATGGAGATGTCAGTCTTCCGAGAAAGTGTTTGGGGGTTTTCTTAAATGTATTTGAACTGTGGATGGGATTGTACTGGTGGTGTAATTAAATCGGGTATTACACCACTTCCTGAATTCTGCATCCCCAATTCGATATTGTCTTGCCAATTTGAGACTGTCTTGTAGCCACCAAAAGATATGCTTAAAGGACTTTATATAAGGGGTTCTTCTAGGCTAGAAAGTAGCTAGCTCCGACTGATGGGCTCTTATGCCTATCTAGCCTCTAACATGCTTCGGAAAGCGGCTTGTAAGAGTAGAAATTCGCTGTTTTCTTAGTGCTGACTAACTCCCCTGGTACGTCGCCTGTTTATCATGTGGCCAACTTCTACTCTTTCCAGCCGCTTACCGAAGCCTGATAGAGACTACTATAAAGTCATACCTAGGGAAAATATACTATTAGATAAGTTCTTACTAGCATGAAAGTTCATGTGTGTTGGTAGTTGCATGTTTAAAGTTAAAACTTTTGGTCCAACACATAAAAATTATCTCACCTAGAGCTTTCGACCAGTAACTCTGGTCTTCCTCAGTAGACTGACCCATGCAGTGAGGCTTGTCACGTGGCTTCTTTGAAGTGTGACGTCAACACTACGTCAACAGTGGGTCAAAGATATCTGGTAGACGATGTCAGCCCCCGTCGCGGTCAGTCTACTGAGTCAGTCTACTGAGGAAGACCAGAGTGACTGGTCGAAAGCTCTAGGTGAGAGAATTTTTTTTGTGTTGGACCAAAAGTTTTAACATTTAACAAGTTCTTACTAGGATATCCCACTGTGATCTGTGTCAGAGCTTCCCTCAGTACGTCGTTCTGCAGACCTATACACGTGTACACCGTCAGGCCGAAATCAGCCATTACAAACACCTACAGGAGAAAATAAGGAATTAAACATTTCACACCTCCGCCAAGCATTTGTATTTCTAATTAAACTTCAGTAAACTTCGCATTAGTGACCACCCCTTAAGTATAGAATCCGGCAGGCATAGCCGTACCCCTCTGAAAGATAGAACTTCTGTAATTATTTATATGTTGAAAACGAGATACACTTTCTACTTGACTGTACATTATATAAAGATGAACGCCAAGAGCTATTCGATACTTTACAATTAGACAAGATATGTAAGAAAATGTCAAAGCAGGACATGTTTAAACACTTGATGTCATATAAGAACGAATTTACAGTAGACAAACTATGTAATTATGTTTCCAAATGTTTCAAAAAGAGAGAGGAAAGGGCAACTAACAGTATATATATGATAGGTAGTTTATAGTATTATTGTAATGTATAGATTCCTAGCACTTTGCATTAGAATATAGTGTACCAGTATGAAATACTCATGTTTTACATACTGGATATCCTCTTATGCATTTAGCCCATCTGGGCAAGAACATACAATAAAGATTCATATCATATCATATCATATCATATCTAATGAACTTAGACATACCTACTCTCCAAGCAGAGGTTGACGGTGGAAGATCGTTTGCTTTTTATATACTAGTATGATTCGTTTTTTTGTCTCTACCACCACTAGTGAAAGGAGGTGGTAGGGACAAAAAAATGGACCATATATAAAAAGCAAACGATCTTCCACCATCAACCTCTGCTTGGAGAGTAGACATACTTTCGATTATGAAACATACCTGTTCTTACCTTTCTACCATTATTATAATAATAATAATAACCTTTATTGTACATTCATGCCCTATCGGGCTAAGTACAGGTGAACAGATGAAAGGGTAATATACATTTTTGTAGTACAAATAGCTCTAAAACTACACTAATACAAAGGTTTAGCTTCTTCTCGTTTCTTAGTGATGTTAAAAATATAATTTGAAATGGGTTTATAAGAACGAGAAGAAACAGAATTTACTTAGTCGTAGTTACTTGACAATGTATGTGTATTCTAGATCTATTCTATTTTCTTGTTGTGTCTACAATAAAAGTCTTCATTCATTCATTTAAATGTATTGCGACTTTCATGTTTTATGGAATGAATGACGACCTTTATTGCACATTTTTGCCACACCGGGCTAAGTACAGGTCAAAACAAAACATGATGAACATATACAGTTCACATAAGTAATTTATTATACAAAACGTCTTGTCGCTTTTCAGTTATTGTAGTATTGAATCTTTGTTGCATATTCCAGATGGGCTACATGCACATGTGAACAAGTGTGTTCCACTGGATATAAAACATGGAGTATATAAGGCCACAGCAAGTAATTTGTATGGATGACATCAGCGCACGCATTGGTTTTCGCCTGATTTTGGAAAAAAAATTGTTGCCCGTTGACAGTGGTCGACACGTCAACATGCCGAAAATAGGAAGAATGGCATGCCTTGCCGTGTTGGAACGTGTATGGCAGATAAATATGAAGAGAGAAGACAAGACAAAGCTCTGATTTATTGTTTTGACTTTTACTTTGATGCAGTGATGTATTTCATTCATTTTATATGTTCCCACTAAAAGTTATTTCAGTGACAAATGGATGGTGTGATAGTTGGCAGTAAAGTTAGCACAATATAGGTATCATTTCTTGTTTAGCCGAGTTTATGATGTCAAAATATAGGAATCTTGTTGGGGTTTTATTTGGCCCGCCTTGTTTTTTTGTCGCCCTCTCGCATTAGTTTTGGAGTCTGTGGAGGATGTCATCCATAAAATTTACATGCTGTGGCCTAACACTGAAAAGCTAAATTCTAACGCTAAATACTGAATATCAAAACAACAGTGTGTGCTGTTGTTCATCCGCTGTTAATCATTGTTTTTTTCTCGCTTGTTGGAACACACGGCAATCGTTAATGCTAATTCGAATCAGTCTGATAAGTTTAACCTTGTCCTTGACACAACTTCTATTTTTATATTGACCTTTGCTCTCTGGATGTTTGAAGGTTAACTCGAGCTAAATTAAAAAACAATTCTGATCGATCTTAGATATATAATGTCTATATTATGTAGAGTCCAATGATTAACGTTATGTGTTTTGTGGGCATATTTTTTCATGCCTGAAATGCTTTTAAAGTTACCTGGGTGCCATCCGATTTCTAGGCAACCCCGAAGAAACCGGCACCCATGCCAGGCTACTTTTAAAGCTCTCATAATTGAACACTCTCATGTACTGATATCTGTATCAGTATAACCTGTATAACCGCCCTTCGGCGTAACACACCAGCTTCTGTATCTGTATAGCCGGTATAACCGCCCTTCGGCGTAACACACCAGCTTCTGTATCTGTATAACCTGTATAACCGCCCTTCGGCGTAACACACCAGCTTCTGTATCTGTATAGCCGGTATAACCGCCCTTCGGCGTAACACACCAGCTTCTGTATCTGTATAGCCTGTATAACCGCCCTTCGGCGTAACACACCAGCTTCTGTATCTGTATAGCCGGTATAACCGCCCTTCGGCGTAACCCACCAGCTTCGCAGGCACGCGGCGCGGCGGCACCTAGCTATAGCTATATCACACCGAACGACTTGTTACACTCAATCTTTGCACATTTGATTGCAGGAGTTTAAAGCTTTCTAGTGATGATGCCCCAACTGTGTTTGGTCTCGACGAGTTCCAGTCTCCGATAGTTCTGGGGAAATACGAGTTTTGAATACCTCAATTCTCGGTTGATAACTCTGATATTTGAAGGTATGACTGTTTCTTGTACTTTTCTGGGCTGGTATCAGATACTTAGTGGTTGGTACAACGTCCACCAGTTTATTAGTCATTTTGTATATTATGCACAGTCTGGACATTCTATGTCTGTCTTCCAGTGAC